GGTTAATGTCTACGTAAAATAGAAGACTGAAATTATGTCTTCGTTGGAATTTGAAGTTGATTCAGAACACGAGACTCCAAAAGAGAAGGTTCGTTCGTTTTTACAGGTGCGTTTTAATGTGGTGCCACTGACGCCGCGTTTCGCTTTTCCAGCATTAATTAGATCGACTATTAAGCTAAAACTGTCAATAATTAACCAGCTAATCAGTCAAGCAGCTGTTGTACTTGGAAACCAAAATCAACGATCACATCGTGTCAGCAAAGGAGGGATTAAATTACAGTGACATTCTTCTTTTAGTGCTGTTATTCGGCTTCAAAATAAAAAGTAACGAGGAAAAAACAACCATTTAATCTGTTGTTAATAACGATAATTAACTGGTGGATCAGCCAAGTAACTATTGCACTTTGTAGCCTACAAACAAGTATTACATCGTGTCAACAAAGAAGGGATTACATCACAGTGATATTCTTGGTAAACTTCTCTTATTCGTCTACAAAATGAAAATAAGGAGACAAAACAACATAAGCAAGCACGCACAATATAGTCCCTTGCCATTTATTTCAATTGCCCTGCCTTAACCGTTAGACTCCCAAGATCTGATTGAAAATTCTTCCTTTTAGCTCCTATACTTTTACCAGTAAACATGCAAGTTCAGAAAATTTGGTCTTCTATCAGAAAAAAAATAACCTATCAGCTGATAGATTCATGTCATCTTTTCATGTGCATGCTCGCTGGATAATGTATTTCAAAATGAGCGCTAAAGAAGTTAAATGCTCATTAATTGAAAATTTAAAAAGGGATGCGATATAAAATGTTTGAGCTTTACTGCCATATTGCAATTACATATGTAATCAAAGCTATAACAAAACTCTCGAACGTGATTGGTTATCACTGGCCCGATTTGAGCACTAATAGGACAGTGTACGCGTCATGTTTGTAATTGTACAGTGTACTAGGACAGTTAAAGGGACAATTAACACGTCATACCAGCGTAAGTGGACAGAACACGTATTAAACGCGCGATTTTGTCTCGCATTTCGCCGATTTAACTCTTGTTTTGTTTTTCTTTTAATAAAGACGTATAACTGATGTCCAGTCTCTTTCTCAAATGTCATCATAGTTTTGATTAATTAGTGACAGAGCCTCGAATCGTCCAATTCTTTCTGGTAATCATACTCGTAATTGACAAATCAGACTCCTGCTTCGCGATAGTCTGATTTTATTAATCACTCGTAAGATTAGCGACCGTATTAGACTCCACTAGGTCCAGAGTTCCTTCTAGCCTCTGGGCACTACTCTTTAATGAAAACCAGTCCATTGCCCCCCCCCCCCCCCCCCCACCCTTCTCCCCTTCCTCTGCCGGTACACTGATCCTTCGGTTTCACTTGTTGGAAGGAGGAGTCGTTGTAAAGTTGAATGTCTCTGTGTACGACGCGTCAACTCTTTAACTCCCAAGATCTGATTGTTAATTCTCCCCTCTAGCTGCGATACATATCCTTGTAAATTAGTTAAAAGAATTTTATGTAAGATCGAGATAACAACTTCTACTTCATAAGTTTCAATATTGTCATGACTTGTTTCCTGGGTAATGTAAGGATATTATAGGGAGAGGTTTCATGTTGGTCATTTCTGAGAGTTAAGAATAAGTCTCTGTAAGAATCAAACATCTTTAGAAATAAAAAATTTCAACCCCCCTACAAATTTTGCATGCAGTTAGGCACTCAGGGGGGATGCACAAAAAACAGGGAAAACGTTTATCTGAATTTCTCCAAAAGTGCACCGATTCTGGAACTGAAACTACCCACCTAGCTGGTTATATTGTTCTAGTTTTTAAATATGTAAAAATCTCTGCGGGCCTGCCTCTACTTTTTATAGGGGCAATTCGCGAAAAAAGCTCAAAAATCAGATATTGCATAATTTGGCGATGTTTACATCTAATGTTCTCAACAACAAACGTTTCAGAAAAAATGAAACATGCAAGGCCTTGAAAGAATGTTATCTTATGAGCAATATCCCGAAGAGAAATATCGCCTCTGGTTGTTATCTTGTGAAAAACATTGATCAACATTCACTCGACGTAACTACTAACACATACCTCAAATCGTGTGCATATCATCCAGATTCCGAGTGCTGCCCCTTCTTTCATGGGAATTTGAGCAATCCGAAGTCCTCTGTTATACTCGTATGTCATTTAAAACATGTTAAAGTCGGCTGATCTATACGAAACTATCCTCACACCGGTCATTTGTCATAAACATGTACCTTGTCACGATAGCCTGACGCTGTATTTCTCCATGAATTTTCTATCGGTCGCCCCAAAGAAGACGAGAAATGGACATTTTTCGATATATCAGCAGTTTTCCGCGCATTCTAAGTAAAACCAACCAAACAAAAAAAGGGAAACTTTGATTGAACGCTCGTAAATACTGAGAATCTGAGAGCAGAAATCTCAACTTGTCAGCGGCAGTACTACATGTAAAACCCAGTCGCCACAATAGCAATTTGTACGACTCGCGTGAAAATCATCACAAAGTGGAGATTTTGAATTACTCAGTATCTCTGCAGTACAGCAAACGGAACAGGGATCTCATCACAATCAATTTCCAAAAATTTAGCCTTTTTCAGGGAGCCTTTCTTCGCAGCTCATTCTCAAGGGATTTGGGAAATGGAAGGTCATTCTCCCAGAACAACATGCCTTCTGTTGCTTCAGATAGCTCAGATAGTTATTGACTATGATAGAGGGTACTAGATAAAGCAAGTGACGGGTGTGGCGATCTTCGTCAGAAAATTGGTCTTGCATTTGAATAGTCAGAGAATCAAGAAGGGGAATAGCCACAAATTTTTTGTAATGATCAATTGGGCTACAACTGGGTATGTTTGAGCGATTCCTCAGTATGCTGCTTGTCTTTCTGGGTCTAGCTTCAACAATTCCCAATTTCTCAAGGTCTAATATTTGTTTGTACCAAACTTGAAAGTCGCTGTCAATGTTTTTTCTAACGGACTTGATGTTTCCAACTACTTCGTCAACCATCATGTAAGCTTCTAAAATATCTTGGTCCCGTTTCTGCAGCTTTGATGCAAGAGCTTTGACTTCATTAAGAATATTCTTGGTCGTAATAAAAACCACTACGGTCTGGAATGACAACAAAGAGGCTTTCAGTCCCTGGGCTTTTGTAATAGTATCTTTGTCCCAATTCCAGCTTCAGTAGACGATTTCAAGTTTGGGCACTCGTGGGGGGAAATAACAGCATCTAGAAAGGTGACTAGGAGCTCATACATTTCCAGGAAAAGATCTAAGCACGTGTGTCTTTCCACCCAGCGTGTCTTGCATAGACCTGGAAGCTTACTGTGGGAATTCTCGGGCAGGTATTCTTTCAGAGTCAACCCAAACAGCTGCTGTCGCTTTGGGCTGTTATTTAAAAATAAATATGCTTCGTTAATCAGACCTACCAAATTTCGCACTTCTGACAGTTTGCATGATGCTGCGATGGAGAGGTTCAGGCAGTGAGCATAGCAATGTGTGAAAAGAGCTAAAGGACTGATCTCTTTTATCTTGGCCTGCACTCCTTCCTTTCCACTTGACATAACGGAAGCTCCATCACATGCCTGACTACGGATGTTGTTAGGATCCAAAGAAATAGATGTATCAGAGAGAGATTCCAAAATCTTTCTTGAAATCATGGTGTCATTTGTTCGTTCCAAATGCATGAAATTAATCAGGCATTCTTTAGCACGAGGCTCGTTTGGCGAGGACTGGTCCACAAACCTCAAGCATAAAAATAAGATCTCCTGGTTTGAGTGTGGATCAGTACTCTCATCAGCTATGATTGTGAAAGGCAGGTCCTTAGTCCTTAGCTCTGCTGAAAGCCTTTCCTTAATTTTTGACGCCTACACGTTCGCGAAATGTACATTACCTTTTCATAACTTGACAAGCAGTCGAATGATGGAAGTGGAAAAACTTTGTAAAAAAAATTTATTTATAATTAATTTATGAAGAATAAAACAAATAACAAGCGACAAATGCTCCTCAAAGGGGGTTGCAACCCCCTCAACCCCTCTCCTGGATCCGCCTCTGTTACATAATAGCCGACTATCAGGATTCACCTACAAATCTTTCATTCTGTAAGCTTAGCATCCTACGTTTTGCAATGTCAAAAAAGCTCTCGATTTCCCTAAAACTTCAAGTTTTAAAATAGCAACAGGAATCTGTGATATGAACGACAGAGGAACTTTGATACCTGAATAACGAAAAGAAATTCCTATGACGAGGACGCAGTTTATAACTAATTTGAATATAAAATCATGTTACAGCAACAATCGGTATGATTGTTTTTTCGCGAGGAAAATTAACAATACAAAGCCATCATTTAGCTATCGTCATGTCTTCTGCAAATGTTGTATGCGTGAATTTAGTCTTCATTCAATAAACAGCAATGAGACAAAATTTAAAATTGAGCTCTCCGATAACACCATTCGTGCACTGTCAAAATGACGTGAAAGTTTACGTTAGTCTAAATTGTAACCCGCTCAGCGAATGTAAAAGTAACCAGAAATAAAATCAAAATTGCGCTGATATCGCAAACGCCTTCGGAGCTTTTTCTTGACCTTCAAAGACTACGTCATATCGCGCCATGGGTGAGATGCTCTTGGCGGACAAAGCCATGCTTACAAGCCGCGTTCCTGTAGTGGAGTAGTTATCACGTCTGCTTTATACACGAAGAATTGCAGGTTCGAACCCTACTAGAAAAACGTGTCACAATTTGTAGGTTGGAATCCTACTAGAAACACGTGTCACAATTTGCAGGTTCGAATCCTGCTAGAAACACGTGTTACAATTTGATTAATGAAGAAACTATAAGATCAGATTCATCCATTGCAAAAATCCCAGGACTTTCAATGATTTCGAGTTGGTTTTATGTGTTTCCGTAAATCTCTCATAGCCATTTTTGCTCTAAAAAGTCGAAACCTCCACGGTTGTAACAACTTCCTTTATTGTGCGATTATTTCTCAACAATTCCTGAGCGTTAAATCTGACTATTTGAGTCACATTTACTCGCAAGGTTCATTTGCTTACTTACAAATTTAACTAGAGGTACATACTCTATTAAATAATTTGATCAGTTACAACTGCTAAACACGTTTTAACGGCATGCAAACTCGTCTGAGGTTTCTTGTCGCCTTTTCCTTAATGAACACACATGTGTCTCTTTCCTACGATACAAGATTTACTACTTTGTTAAATTGGTGAAGAGAGCATGATATATTATACATTTTTACGAGAGATTGGTTTGTTTTCACTATCGGTTCTCGTTAGGCACTGAGGTTGATTGAACACGAGTCTCCAAAAGAGCACGTTCGTTCGTTCGTTTTACAGGTGCGTCTTAATGTGCTGCCATTGGTGCATATCCCTCACATTACGAATTATAACGACTATTAAGCTCAAGCGATCAATAATTAATTAGTCAACGAATCAAGCTGCTGTTGTACTTTGTAATCCACAAACAAAAATCATTTTGGATTAGCCATAGAAGGGATTGAATTGCAGTGATGTTTCTCGCAAACAACTGTTATTCTATATGAAAAATAAGGAAACAAAAACAGCATTAACAAGCATGTAAAAGATAGTTTCTGGTCGTTTTTCTCTATTCCCCTGCCTCAACCGTCAGACTTCCAGGGTCTGATTGATAATTCACCTTTTCGGCGTTAGGTTTCACGTATAGTGTCACGAGACTTCTAATGGTTACGATACGATTTATAAGCGAAATGATAACGAAATGATTTGTAAGCGGCGAGTCCATGCCTGACTCCGGTGGAGAAGTAAATAAAATGATTAAAAATATCCTACAATCCAAACGGCCGCGAAGCGTTAAAATTGGTCACAGTCTTCAAAAAAACTAGATTGAGAATAAACATATCAGGAATTATTGATTTGCCTGAAGTAGTGGTGCCGTTTTCATCGAAATTTGGACACACTAATAGAACCCTTTTTTTCGACTGCGAAGGCGACTTCCCCACACAAAGTTGTGAAATATCTGCTCACTGAAATGTCCCGTTTCTGCAGACATTTATATATATATACATTATATTCATAGCGTTAAAACCGTCTCAAATTTTGTGATTTGCTATTCTAAGCTACAATTGCTCTTGAAGACTGAACTGGATTTGGCAGGATTTCCCCATTACGTTACATAAAACATTCCACGCAATACCATATGAAACGAAATTCTTTGAGGGAATTTAGACTTGATCACGTTCTACAGCGATTCGTGGGCAATAATCTCCTATCAGACGTGGTTTCATTTAACACTGTACATAAAATGTTTTTTTATTTTTCCATGGCGCGACAGAGGGAAGCTATTCACAACAAAATGCCGAAGCCGAAGTTCGGACTCGAGCTGTGGGTGGTTGACTCAAAGTCTAAGCTTTCGCAGTTTGTTTACATCACAAGTTACGTGACACTGCAAGTGCAATCTAACACCGAAAACGTGAATTCTTTCCTTCAGTTGTGACTTTAATACTTCTACACAAGTTAAGAGAATTTGGTTCTCTATGAAAAACAAATCATGTATTTCAGTCAAAAAAAAAAAAAAAAAAAATAGGTGTTGGGAGTGGTATGTGAAATGCGCTCTCTCGATGACATATTACAAACATGTGTAAAACTCAAAGGGCAACTGGCCTTAAACCGGGGCTCGCTTTGGTTTCTGAGCACTGCTAGCGCTCTTAACCCTCAACTCCCAGAAGTGATTAACATGAAACTTTTCCCTAAAATATCCATAGATATATCTTGCAAACAGGTGATGAGAATATTCACACTTATCAGGTAAAAGTTGTTATCCTGATCTAACACCAAATTCTTGTACCTGATTTGCAAGGAATGCGTGGCAGCTAGACGGGAGAATTAGGATGAAGATCTTGGGAGCTAAAGGGTTAAATGTAATGTCAGTCCATTACAGCTCACCCTTACCCAACGAACACCTTCCGTCTCCCAGAATACGTTTTTCCCAAAAATCTCGGCCATTGCTACACAATTGGACCAGTAGGTTACCTTAACAAGAATAAAGCTCAATCCTCATAGCGATCGCCCAATTCCAGTCCATCGGAAGAACTCGAACATAGCGAACATAAATAAGCGGGTTAAGATCGTGGTAAACTACTGTGTCTCTGTCCTTGTTTCCTTGGAAAACCTGAGTAGAATATATTTGGTCGTAAAATTAACGAGAGTAAGTTTTTTTTCTTTTTATACTATGGGTTACTCTTACCCAATAACTTTCGTGAATGCTTTTCTGTAGGTTCAATGACAGAGAGTATATGGCCCAGCCTAGTGTAACTGCTTTGTGGCTCAGTGGAAAAGGATCAGAATGCAGAATACAAAAAGGTTCTGCTCCTCATGGGGACTTTTTCTCCGCAAAAAGGTTTGTTCAATTAAGCATATTTTTTCATACCGTGTCTGATACGTCTCCGTCTCGCTTGTAGACTCTAAAAGTTTGTCCGTCATCGCCATATTGTAGCTTGTATTTAGTAACCCACTGCTTTGATGCAGGTTTCCCCTGCGTCGCTATGCCTATTACCCTTATGATATGCTGAAGATCCACTTGCAGCCATTGGTTGATGTTTTTCTCTCTAGCTACCCAGCCACCATGTCTAACCGGGTTTTCGGATCCTTTGAAATGTAATCTAGCATTCGGTGCGGCATGTCTATCATTAGACATGGAGGAAGCGGTGATCTGTGAGTCAAAAATAGCACCGCTTTCCATGCCAAGGGGAACTGGAGTTTTTGGTGATTCCGCACGTGAAATTGAGACAGAGAAATGCAATCGCACAGACATTGATTTGTTTATCATGGAATAAAGGAGGATTTTGAGAACGGTTGAATAGAAATAAAGGAGGATTTTGAAAACGGTTGAATAGAAATTTAAAAGCAAGTGCAGTTTCACCTTTCCACTTTATCTCAAGCATTATAATAAAAAATTTGATAAAGATAAAAACTTTCGCGTGAGTTAAATCTCTCCGACTTACAAGTGATGGTCAAAGCTCTATTACAAATGAAAATTGTAATAGAAACCGGAAACGGTTAAAGTTTACTGCGGCACCTTTGGAGTATCCAATGGTTTTTGGATCCCTGAAGTTTGCCTTGTCTAATTTCTGGATATGTTTAAATTGCTTTCCATATTGATGACTCAACGCTATCATGTTTTCGCGATGCATTTCGTTAGCACATCAGCATTTGAAGCTGTGAATAACGCAGTGAGTGTCCTCGGCTTCTTCAGCAGGTTCTTGTTTCCTTAACCCAAGATCTCATTATTAATTCTCCTTACTGTCTGCTATATAACTCTTATGATGCTAGTTCTGAGAATTTGGTACTGGATCAACTAAAAAATCCTCAAACTTATCTTTCATTATTCTCATCACCTGTCTGATTGATGTTGTATGGTTATTGTAAGAAGAAATTCTGTCTTGGTCACTCGTGGGAATTTAAGGCTTGATTTCCACTTTGATTTAGAAGTAACCTAGGCCCCTTTTTCCTTGGCAATTTTTTTTGACAGCATTCGAGGACTTTCAAGAAAGCTGTAAGAATCAGAATGTTTCAAGCAGGTTCGGGAATGTTTGCGAAGGTGTGCGAAGGTTCGCGAGGACGGCAGACTCCGCACCTATTGGCGGAGAGACAAGAAGCAGCCGGGACAAGTAACTCATTGTAATTTAAAAATGAAGTCGTTGACATTAATCTCAAGAATACCTTTCAAATCAACGCTACTTACATTTGCAGTTGACGACTTTTAAATCTTCCTTGAAGGCCAGACAGTTGTGCTGAAAACATAAGAAATCATTCATTTTTCATTTTATCGGGTAATCAATACGTCCTCCAGGTTCATCACCCTATGGAGGCTGCAATAGCGAGCTAAATGAAAGCCTTTAGATGCATCTTGAAAGTTTTAGCTTCAAGCTAAATTTTATACTGAATTTTGTGCACTAAATCCGTATGACCACTTTTGGTCCACCTGAATTTATTTAAGAACTCTCAAATTAAATTTATTTAATTTTATTGAGTTTCGGAGCAGTTTGCATACATTGAATCTAATGATACTGAGATTTAAATTACCAGTTATCTGGAAAAATTGCTTATTTTTCTTTGAATGACCGTAGAACATATTGATTATCAGCACTCAATGAAATGTAGTTCATTCGCCTCTAAAAGAAGAAGATGAAAAACCGCCATTTTACCCGCATACACGTCAAACTACTTTAGGACCAAATCGATTAACACATTCAAAGAAAAATATGACAGACGGAAAGTTTTCACATCTGTCGTCGAAATATGAAGATTTTATTGGAAAGATACCACGAAAGAAAGACAAGTGTCTCGAGAAATCAATAACACCTTCTTCTTTGTCTTCTTTCAAGACCTTTTTTACCTTCGTGTCGTAAAATTGGGTGTAAATTGCTTCTTCGTTGTATTCCAGTTGGTTTCCTTTCTCAGTAAGGAGAACTCCCTCGTCGTTCAACTCACAGGTTCCCTCACTTTTGAAAACGTTTCTGAAATTTGTTGAAACGCATCGAGGGTCTCTCTGACATAGCAAACCACAGGATACAAGGCTTGCAGAGTGAATTGTTTTGAACGTGAAGCCTTTAAGTTGGCGATGATTGTAAGTTATCACTGGATAAGAAAGAGATGATTGCTTGAGAAATGCTTGAGATGCTACGACTTCGGACATTAAGAACAAGATAAGTCCAGCACACAGAGTAAAATTCATTTTGATTTTCTGGTGATCACTTCGTCTAAGGTATGCGTACTACTTAGCTTTGTAATTGTGTCGGAGGCGTTTTCATCAGAAGTCAACAAGGGAATGATATTAAATAATTTACATAAAATTTGGAGATTTTAATGATTTATCTTACCAATCATAGCCGTGCAATCGACTGGCTAATTGAAAGGATGGACTGAAAGCTGGATAACAATACGATTTCGATTTTAATTAGATGTTAAAGAAGATGACATGTCCGCGTGAAGTTTTAATCTCATCAGCCATTTCTTTTTGAATGAACAAAGATCTTATTTGATTCAGAGATTTAAAATGAAAAATGATCCGGTCGTTCATTAAATTTTTCTAGTTTGTCGGTTCTTATCATATAGCCTTTCCTGTTAGCTATGGACACGTCGATGTAGTTGTTGAGATATTATTATTGTTGTCCACTTTAGACGTTTCTGAATAATTTATTAAGTACTTAACCTCTTTAAAAAGACACTCTTTAAAAAAAACACTTCTCACAGACACAATTTACTCAGTTACAACTGACCTGAAAATTAATATGGCACTCACTAAATGTTTAAGAAACTTCTAGACACCAGTTATTATGTCAACAACTGCATCAAGGCAAAATAACATTTAAGTGATAACAACTGATAATCGGCGATGGCTGCGAGCTATAGCGGGATGAAACAAATTAGTTTTCATCGAAGGAAACGAAATGAAATGCTCAGAGTTTAGATATCACAAATTTGAAAGCAAATAGAACACTTCTCGCAGACAAAATAATTCCAGTTACAACTGAGTTGAAAATTAATGCGGTTCTATTTGCTTTCATTAACAATTGGCACTCAAGAAGCCGGAGTTGCTATCGGCTACGCCTCGAGCAACTCTTACGCATCCTTCTTGCTCTTCAAACTTCCCAAGTGCTCCATATCTCGATGAACGCACAGCTGACATATGAACCAATTGTTTTATAACATTTTCAACCCGATGGAAAATCTTTTTCTCGAGGGATTTGTTTGCTGACGTCATGAGTGTGTACAATAGGAATATGAAGCACGCTCGTGCAATTGAATTTGATTAGACAAATTTACTAGCTATGTTATAAAATTTTTTGATGCCTTGATACTAGTGTCTAGAAGTTTCTAAAACATTTAGTTAGTACCGCATTAATTTTCGACCAATCAGGATTGACGTTTTTTTTAAAGAGCCAGACGAGAAAGCCAAGTGTGTTTGTAGTAAAGCAAACCCGGTTGAGTTGTTTATGTTTTCTTTGTTTTAACCTCCCTCTGCCGATTTTTTTTGCCTCTACATCGCCAAGACTGTGATGGACCATCTTGCCCGCTTAGGTAGCTAATCAGAGAACAGGATTCACTTCATACTGCCCACGGGCACTGCCAGCGATATAATAACAAAGCTTAGCGACTTCGTATGATCAAATAAATGTTAAGGTAATAAGGTTTTATCAACTGAGTCGATAACGTAAATTTGCAACAGTAAGAGTTTCAAAGCTGACATTCCAGCGTTAGCCCTTCGTCAGAGCGAGAGACGAAGTGCTAACGCTTGAAACGTCTCCTTGGAAACTCTTTACTGTGGCCAATTTACGTTATCAACTCAGTTAATAAAACAAAATTACGTTGTTATACTCTTCCACCGACGCAGCAACACAGTTTCTTCAGAGACTCACCCCTTTATTCAAATATACTATGCTTTCAAGTCTCGTGAACGCAATGGTGAATTGGCGGTATGAAAACACTGACATCAATTAAATTACGCTACCTCAAGATGCACACATTTTTAGACATACACACATTGCTTCCATTAAATATGCCAGTCTAGCCTTAAATATGCAAAACATAATGTTTCGTAATGCAATGCAATAGGTTAAATTAAATTCAACTGATAACATTTTTTAAGTAGTTGTGTAAGGCCTGAAAAAGTATTCATCATTTCATGGGTTCATTGTTAACCAACATACTGACCAGCTCCCAGTTGACTTGTTGTTAGCTCAGTTGGTAGAGCACTACACCGGTATCGCAAAGGTCATAGTTTGAAATCCCGTACAGGCCTGAATTTTTTTTCAGGTCATATTTTCACTACTGCTTAAGAAGAGTTTATTACTGCGAAGATCGCTTTCGCATTCATTTCAAGTGAGCTTCTATAGTTTGCGAAAGCTAGTAGGCTTAGCCTAGTGCTAACACAGAGGCATGGATGACATCAATAGAGATTAAAAGAAAGCTGAAATGTTATGAAAATTTCCAATTTTTTAGAGGCAATGATGACAATTGACAAAGAAGATCAGGACGATGATGAAGTCACCTTTAAATTAAGGTGGCTGTTAGATTTTGTAGCGCAACCACACTCACTCTAGATCTATTGATGAATCAATTCCCATAGCAGCTAGCCATGTAGGCAATGCGTATCATTCAGCCTCAATACTCTACTAAGACAGGCAGTATAACAGTCGAAAATTTAAGTCTACTTATAACAGCATTGTGCTGGAATTTCATGGTGACTCTATATTTAGCGATTAAACATTGATTTACCAAATGTTACTTACTTAAGTGACGAGCACTTTCACATTTTTCTATTAACAATTTTAACTTTTCTTTCCAATTATCTAAACTAACGCAGTGAGTTCGCTTGTTTAAATATCTTGTAGCAAAGAACTTTGAATATTCCTCTTTCTAGATCTGCTTTCAAGTATTCCATCCTGGGAGTACACGCGTCAGAAGGTTGATGGCTCTCACGCGAACCGCACGAATTTTCCAGCAATACACCAATGGATTTATGCAAGAATTAAACAAACTTATAAAACTGATACACTCATCCCAAGGCCTGGGGTCAGGTGACTTTCGGAAAAAGGAAGAGATGATGCCATAGGGAGAGTAGCAGATAAGCATTATTACGAATATACACATTGCATTAAAGGCCACCTTACTCGCGCGCGCTAATCGCACCAATTTGTTATTTTGATTCTCAATTTCAGCTTGGTCGAAGATTTGATTCTAATAATGACGCGCTATTTTGTAAATCATATTGTAAGCGCATCTAGTGGTTTCAATTTTGAATACTATGAGAGAAGAGTTAAC